AGAGGCTGGTGATGGGAAAGGGGCATGAGTGGAGTATGTAAGGTGCTTGCAATGTAATATTTCGTGGCTTATGTGGTATTTGCTTTGTGATAAATCAGTAAGCTGTAGTTCTTTGTTTTTGCACTTTTCATAAGCATAATACCTAATAAACATTTAAACATTTGCTTTGTTTCTGGCCATGTGAAATATGGATAGAAGTTTGTTTTGGTAGATTTTTTTAGTGGGCACAAACAATTGACAAAAAGATGAACACATCAGTGGAACAGAGTAAAAACGTCCAGAAATAGACCAACGTGTTTATGACCAAATGACTTTTGACAAAGGCACTAAAGAAACTCAATGAGGGTAAGGAAAGTCTTTTCAATAATTGGTGTTGTAATAACTTAGTATACATGTAGAAAAAAAAATCCTTGACTTCTACCTCACTAGTACACAAAAATTAATTCAAGACAGATCATAGATCTAAACATATAAAGCTATATATAACCTAACATTATAAAGCTCCTATAAGAAAACATAGAACAATATCTTTGTATTTATAGATAAGGCACCAATTCCTTAGGAGATAGAAAGAAAAAAGAAACAATGAAAAATTAATAAAGTTGACATCATCAAAATTTAAAATTTCTCATTAACAGACAGTTAAAAATGAAAAGGCAAGCCACAGTCTATAAAAATAAATATTCCCAACACATATATGACAAAAGACTTGTATGCAGAATATATGAAGAATTCCTACAAACCAACAATGAAAACCTAATTTTAAAATGGACAAAAGATTTGAGCAGACATTTCTCATAATAATCAATAAACATATGAAAAAAATTTTTCCACATGGGAAATGAAAATTTGAACCACACTGAGATACTACTTTACATCTACCAGGATGGCAAAAAATTTAAAAGACTGACAACCAAATATTAGAATGTAGAGCAACTGGAACTCTAATACATTGTTGGTGGGAATGTAAAATTGTATAATCACTTTGTAAAAAGATTTGACAGTTTTGTTTCTTAATAAAGGAAAATATACATGTATTCCCTGACCAGAAGTTTATCTCTTAGGTAAATAAAGATGTAACTGTTATGTCCACTAATGGTCAAATTGTGGCAATCCATATTAGAGAACACTATACAGATGTTAAAAAATGATAAAGATCTATGTCTATTAAACATCTCTAAGATGTTTAGTGAAGTGGGGTGGGAAAAACAAATTGGTGATCAGTATATATAAATGATGCCATATACATGAAGAAGACATTGTGGTTAACTAATTGTGGTTGATTCCGTCGCAGTTGATTAAGTCAGTTAGTACAAGACACTCTTCCACTGACAGCCATGTTGTTTTACATTTTACAATCATACGCCTTAGGATGAGGATGACAAAGTGGAGAGACATAAAGACACTGAGCTCTGGATGACCACCAGTCACTGATTATACCATCCCTTGAGTCCCCTCTACTTCTGGGTTTCTAAATATGTGAAATAATATTTTTTCTTAGCATATGCCAAAAGCATCTGAACTGGATGGTTGAAAGCGAGAAAGCCTAAAAAGATAAAAACCAAAATGTTGGCCAGGTGCGGTGGCTCACGTCTGTAATCCTAGCACTTTGGGAGGCAGAGGCGGGCAGATTGCCTGAGCTCAGGAGTTTGAGACCAGCCTCGGCAACACAGTGAAACTCCATCTCTACTAAAATACAAAAAAATTAGCAGGGCGTGGTGGCGTGCACCTGTAGTCCCAGCTACTTAGGAGGCTGAGGCAGGAGAATTGCTTGAACCCAGGAAGTGGAGGTTGCAGTGAGCTGAGATCATGCCACTGCACTCCAGCCTGGGCAACAGAGCGAGACTCTGTCTCTTAAAAAAAAAAAAAGAAAAAAGAAAAAAAGTTGATATTTATCTCTGCATAATGAGATTGTGGATTTTTTTCTTTTAACTTTTATACAATAAACAAGACTGATAAAAATAATTACTTATAAAAAGCATTCCAAATTAAACACCTTTAATTCAGAACCTCTATTATTTCTGGGATTTCCTATGACTCCTGGATATCCCTTTTATAAGATCATTTGCATATACCATATCTCAGTGATCAAAAAGTGGGATCAACCAAAGATAAATCTGAGAACAGATTACAAGAAGTCTCACAGTAGCCAAGTGAAAAAAGAGATATACAAAATGGAATATCCTTACCACCTACTTAGGCTTTTAAATCTGCTGTACTGGTGGTTAGGACCTGAAGGAGTCTTCTTTTGCATACAAGTTTATTTTTTTTTCTTTTTCCTTGGAAGAAAATGAAGCGTATGGTGTAGGGCTGAAGGCATGGTGTTGTCTCAGCCAGTCCTAAGGCCTGTGGAGAAAGGAGCTGAAGGACAAAGCAGAAACCTTCACAAGGTGATCCATGAGACATAATGGCACAAACAACACTGATTTAGCGCTCATATGACATGGTAACTGCTAAGTGCAGTATCCATTCTTCTGGGAACATGACTTTGACTAAAGGAGGACTCAAAAGAATGCAGTGTTGTTTTCGCAGCTCAAGAGTCTGCAGCTTTGAGAGAACTGGGAAACACGTATTTGTTATGCACAGACATCTGAGTTCTCTTGGGACAGTGACAGCCACCACTTTCAAGTAGTTTTTTGAACAGCAGACATCAACAAGGATAGTAGGAGATTGTGATAACGGAAAGATGAATATATAATTTTCTAGTCTACTTGACAAAAAGATAGTTGCGAAATCTGTCACTGAATAACAAGTCAAGAAGAAGTGCCTATATCAGGAATCCATGTTGATGTTTAAGTCCATTACCAATGAAATTGCTTAGTATAGAATACTCAGAAAATCTTGAAATGCTTCATTTCAAGCGAAAATCTTCTACTTAAACAACCCTAGCTCTAGAATAGCTTTTTTGCAATGACGATATTGCCAGACATAAAACATTTATGCAGTAGACGTATATCACATTATTTACATTTAAGGAATATGTGGATAAGAACTTTGCATTGTTCAACTATCCATTCATTCATCTCTCCATATGTCCATTGATCTCTGTCCATTTAATCTATAGACATTTAACTGAATGCTCACCCTGTTTCAAATACAATGTAAAGAACAATTTTAGTGGAACAGTGGATATGGGTATCAGAAGTGGGTTACATCTGATTCTCAAAACACAGCTCTCAGTAAGAATATTCTAATAAACTGCAAACTTGACCCTTATATACAAGTTCTTTCTCCAGTTATAATGATAGGGTTTCATGGTTCTCTACAATAAGGACTAGTTATTAATAAATAAAGAAGAGCGTAAGCAGAAATTAATAAAATCTCTGTTTTCTTAACTGAGAAGTCTGGATGTCTTGCAACTTTTGAAAATCAGCATACACAGGCCGGGTGTGGTGGCTCACGCCTGTAATCCCAGCACTTTGGGAGGCCGCGGCAGGCGGATCACGAGGTCAGGAGATCGAGACCATCCTGGCTAACCTGGTGAAACCTCGTCTCTACTAAAAATACAAAAAAAAAAAAAAAAAAATTAGCCAGGCTTGGTGGCAGGCATCTGTAGTCCTAGCTACTGGGGAGGCTGAGGCAGGAGAATGGCGTGAACCTGGGGGGCGGAGCTTGCAGTGAGCCGAGATTCATGCTGCTGCACTCCAGCCTGGGTGACAGAGTGAGACTCCGTCTCAAAAAAAAAAAAAAGAAAATCAGCATACACAAAGGCAAATAGCTGAAATTCCTAATGTTTCAGAATGGGAGTTATTTTATTAGTTCATTAATTTTGACTTAAATTGGTTAAGGCTTTCAACTAATGAGAAGATTTTAAATAAAACATTTAAAATTTTAATCATAATTTGCTTATCTTTATTACCAATTTATTTGGTTGTGTGTGATTCATTTAACACTACAATACAGTGATACACATTTGCATCAGTATGGTAGACTGTGTTTCTTCTGTAGCTAGATTTGAACCCTATTGATTAGGTCAAATACACCTCTGTTGTTAAAGGAGATGTACACATAATCTCTAAAATATTTGTGCAGTAATACTTGTTTGTCACTAAATTCTTGGTCCATTAAAAAAATACAAATAACTAGGGTAGTTAAGCTGTGAAGTCATTTTTCCCCCATCAAATAGGTCATGGTCAGAAAGACCTGAGTAGTGCAGATGACGTTTAAGAAATTCGATCCTAAAAAGAAGGAAAGCTGGTAGCTAAAAGAGAAGTGGCAGGGGTAGGGGGGCGTCTAATATCTTTACTGGCCGGGTGCAGTGGCTCACACCTGTAATCCCAGCACTTTGGGAGGCCAAGGCGGGTGGATCACGAGGTCAGGATATCAAGACCATCCTGGCTAACATGGTGAAACTGCCTCTCTACTAAAAATACAAAAAAATTAAAAATTAGCCGGGCGTGGTGGCAGGCACCTGTAGTCCCAGCCACTCGAGGAGGCTGAGGCAGAATGGCCTGAATCCGGGAGGCGGAGCTTGCAGTGAGCCGAGATCGGGCCACTGCACTCCAACCTGGGCGACTGAAGAAGACTCCATCTCCAATAAATAAATAAATAAAATAAAATAAAATCTTTGCTTTTGGGAGTTAAATCTTATAAACATGTTCAGGTTTATCTTGACAGCCATTATCAAGCAAAGAGGCTGAAGGGAAAAGAAGAATAAAAGGTAGAGTAAGATTCCCAGAGGTGGGATAGAATGGTATCAAGGGCTCAGGAGAAAGAGAACTGTGTTATAAAATAGGTATAAAATCAGTAATGAGCAAAAAGCAATCATGAAACTACTCAATATAATAATTCAGAAAAAGGTATGAATGAAATGTCATAAGTTGTATCACAGTGTGACAATGTTCATTATTACTTCCAATGAACTCTTAGTGAAATCTTACCCCACATAAAACACTACATTTTAGCCTATATCTATCAATGAATAATTTGAAAATATGCAATAAAATTTTCCTGTTTTATTTTGAAGTCATTTTCAAATAATGTTTCACTTTTTTTTCCAGATTGGACTCCTTCTTGTCCTGAGCCAGTGTATATCCCAACGGGCTTAGAAACGGAACCCCTTTATCCAGACTCCAAGGAAGATACTGTGGTTTATCTAGCTGAAGATGGTGAGCACATAATGACACATGTTGCTGTAAAATATAATTTGGTACTTAGGTTAATCTCTGAGTTATATTTGTTTTGCTGTTTGTAGTGGAAATTTCAGATGACCAGTCCCTAAACATAAAGATGTTTGTTTACATATTGATCCAAGTGTGGATTTAGTGCCAGTTATATCTTTGAAGGCGTATTGCAGTTTATGCAAAGTTACTTTAAAATTAAACATCATGTTTGCCATTAGAATGAAGAGTTATATTTAGAATGAATTTTGCTTCATATCAATTTTGAAAGATAAACGCAGTGAAGTGCTTTGCAACTATTATTCCCTCTAGTACAGCTCACATTCATGCATTCATTCAGATGTTTTTCTTTTAATTTCCTGACTCTGATGCATTTCTTGGCGTTATAATTTTTAAAAGTGAAACAATTATGCTACATTGCAAAAAAATATCTAAGATTGTATCTCAGGAAAGTGTTAACACTCAAGATCCATATTTGTACTTTGAAAACTCTATTAATGCAAAATATTTTGTTTGCTTTCATGATACAGTATGCTAATAATCAAACATAGAAGTCTCAGAGTATGTTCTCAACTATACTGCTCCTGAAGCACCACTGTAAGGAAGTATAGACTCCTCATAATTTCACCAACACAGTTTAATATCTTAGAGTATTTTCATATATTAAAGATAACTTCTAGGGAGCATATATATTGTATTTAAGGGGCTAGCAAGACAAAGAGAAATTCACTGAGACTATTTCCTGTACAGTAAGCAAATTCTAGAAATCATATACTCACAAACAACTCACAAAAATATACTCACAATATTTTTAAACAACTGAAGAGGAATACCTATGGTTTTTCCAATTTGATTGTGAATATTTACATGGCAAACATGCCTCAGAACTGCCATACATAACTGAAATGAGATCTGATTTAAAAAACTAAAATAATTGAGATGAATCAGTCAGGGTCTTCTCAGGAATTAGATAGCATACTCAGAGTAATTTAAGAAAGTTTAATGAAATTTAACTTAATGAATTTTTAAAAGGGTAGACAGAGTTAATGGAGATTAACAAGGGATGGTGGGAAGCAACATAGGACTATCAACAGAGCAGAACCATGACTGCTAGGCCTGAAAGGGTGAGAAGACAGAATGGTCTCCAGACCTATAGAATCCTTTAGGTATAGGAGAGGGCAGCCTCGAAACAATTGTGGCTTTCAGTAAGGAAACAGACAACTGCCAATCTGTGGCACTGAAGGGAAAATGCTAGGGGGATAAATAACCCAATTTCAGTCTCCTCCCAACTTCCCATGTTCTACCAGTTGTCCACAGCCAAAGGGCAAGAGAACCTCTGAGGCAGTCAATACAGATCAACCTCTTTGGAAACGTATAATGTGCAGAAGAGTAGAGGATAGATCTGTAGGTAGAATCAGAGAATATCCATCACAATCAACCCCACTTAATCCTATTTTTATGCCATACTTGGGAGTTGTGAAGTATGCCTGTCCATAAGTTGAAAGGAAAGCAATAGAAACAAGGTTTGAGGATGAAAAAAAGTCTTGACTTAATTTTCATTGAACATGTGAAAGATTAATTGTAAATACTTACCTTTTTCCATTTTCACAAATGACAAAAAAGAAGAGTAGAAAAGACAAATTTCAGTAGGTAAGATGTAATTTAAATGTCAATGAAAATTAAATGTTCTTATAAAGTTAAAACCCTAGGACAGGATACTGAAGAATGTGGCATACTATGAGACATGATTAATTTTTATTTTGGATAAATTGAGGTAAAATGTAAATAGAATGAAATGTATAGATCATAAGTACACAATTTGGTGAGTTTTGAAAAATATATCATCTGTGTAACCAACACTCCTATCAAGATGTGGAACACTTCCATCACCCCAGAAAGTTCCCATCTCTCCCATTCTGGTCAGTCCCCAGCTCCAGCCCCAGGCAAACACTGGTCTGATTTCTGTCACCCTATTGCCTGACTTTTAGCTTCATATAAATGCAGTCATACAGTAAGTACACTGCTAGGTCTGAATTCTTTGACTTGGAATTATGTTTTCAGATTTATACATGTTAGCAGATTCTTTTATATTGCCAAACGGTACCCCATCATATAACTATACCACAAATTGCCTTTTTATGATTGATATGTATTCAAGATATAAATGCTGTATCATACATATATATGATATAGTGAAATTTTCACTTTCATCTGTGGAAGTCCTTTTCACTTTCATAACAATATCTTTTGATGAGTAGAATTTTTAAACTATTATGAAGTCAATTACCAATTGTTTTTCTTTTAAATTTAGTGCATTTTGCATCCTTTCTATCTATAAACTTTGCTTTTCCCAAGATCACCTATTGTTTTTGAAGAAACTTTATTCTTTTCACTTGTTTTACCTTTGACTTTGATTCATCTAGAATCATTTTTTGTGAATGGTTTGGGATAAGGGTCAAGGTTCATTTTTTCCCACCTTTTAACAAAACTGATTCATCACCAGCTATTGAAAAGACTATCCTATCACCTACTGAATTGCCCTGCCTTTATTAAATGTCAGTTAACAATATATATGTAGGTCTATTTCTAGACACTTCATTCTGTTCCATTGATATATTGATACTTATGCCAGTACCACCATATTGATATTGTAGCTTTATCCATGGCAATCTACTTTGATAGTCAATCTTTCTTTTATCAGTATTTGTGTAGTGCATATATATTTTTCCATCATTTTACTTTTAACCTATGTTTTATATTTAATTTGTTTTATTTTGGGAGATATACAGCATATCATTGGGATTTGCTTTTTTTTAACTTCTGGAATACATGTTCAGAATGTGCAGGTTTGTTACATAGGTATCTGTGTGCCATGGTGGTTTGCTGGGCCTATCAACCAGTCACCTAGGTTTTAAGCTCCACATGCATTAGCTGTTTGTCCTGATGCTCTCCCTCCCCTCGCCCTGGCCCTGACAGGCCTCGGTATGTGTTGTTCCTCTCCCTGTGTCCATGTGTTCTCATTGTTCAGCTCCCATTTATGAATGAGAACATGTGGTGTTTGGTTTTCTGTTCCTGTGTTAGTTTGCTGAAGATGATGGCATCTAGCTTCATCCATGTCCCTGCAAATGACATGATCTCATTCCTTTTTGTGGCTGCATAATATTCCATGGTGTATTTGTACCACATTTTATTTATCTAGTCTATCACTGATAGACAGTTGGGTTGGTTCCATGTCTTTGCCATTGTGAATAGTGCTGCAATAAACATACATGTGCATGTATCTTCATACTAGAATGATTTCTATTCCTTTGGGTATATACCCAGTAATGGGATTGCTGGGTCAGATGGTATTTCTGGTTCTAGATCTTTGAGGAATTGCCACACTTTCTTCCACAGTGGTTGAACTAATTTATATTTCCACCAACAATGTAAAAGTGTTTCTATTCTCCACAGCCTCACCAGTATCTGTTGTTTCTTGACTTTTTAATAATCACCATTCTGACTGGTGTGAGATGGTATCTCATTGTGGTTTTGATTTTGTATTTCTCTAATGACCAGTGATGATGAGCTTTTCTTCATATGTTTTTTGGCCACATAAATGTCTGTTAATATCCTTTGCTCACTTTTTGATGGTTTTTTTTTCCTTGTAAACTTGTTTACGTTCTTGTAAATTCTGGATATTAGACCTTTGTCAGATGGGTAAATTGCAAAAATTTTCTCCCATTCTGTAGGTTGCCTGTTTGCTCTTATGACAGTTTCCTTGCTATGCAGATGCTTTTTAGTTTAATTAGATCCCATTTGTCAATTTTAGCTTTTGTCGCAATTGCTTTTGGTGATTCCATTATAAAATCTTTGTCCATGCCTATGTTCTTAATGGTGTTGCCTAGGTTTTCTTCTAGAGTTTTTATGGTTGGATTTGCTTTTTATATAAACTGAAAATCTGTCCTTTAATTATTATGTTTAATATATAATTATTGTTGTTGGATTAATAGCTACCATCTTACTAGCTTTGTTTTATTCCATATGTTATTTTTTTTAATTCTTTGTCTGCCTTCATTGACATTAATTTGACTGTATTTTATTCTTCCATTTTATCTCCACTATTGGCTTATCATGTATACCTGTTTTTAAACTTTTGCCCTAGGTTTTTTTGTGTGTGTATACACCTTTAATTTAGAAGACTATCTTCAAATTATGTTATACCACTTCACATACAGTGTGAGCACCTTACAAAAGTATATCCTCAATTCCTTTTTCCTTTCCTTTGTGCTATGGTTTTCAAATGTTTTACTTTTTCATGTGCTATAGAAACTCAATGAAGGAGGAGACAAGATGGCTGACTAGACAGTCAGGAAGCACCACTCCCACTGAGAGAGACCAAAATATCAAGTATATCAACATGCTTTGAACAGATCCTCAGAGAGAAAACACTGAGGGTTGATAGAGAGGTGGTGCAGACACCAAGGTTGAAGAGGAAGCTAGGAACCCTGCATGGGTTGCTGAATGCCAGGGCTAGTTCCCACTCTTGAATGGTCCTAGGGAAGAGGCAAGTGAAGGGATGGTGGGGCAGCCTGCTTTCGCTGCAGATCACCGGGATCCTAGCTACAAGAGATTTCATGACCCCCACAGATATTTGAACTGGCAGGGGAATCTGCCTGGAGAGTAGGCAAAGACAGAGCTTTTGCCTACGTGGAGTCCAGGGGATTTTGCACATGGGGCACTGAAGCAGAACACAGCCATAGGTGCCCATCTCCTAAGGCTCCCTATGTTCCTCTGAGTCACTGTAACCCCAGCTGACTACAGGGTCAAGAGAGAGCAGGGCTGACTATCCTATCCTGTGGGGCTGGGGCATGTCTGTTCTTTAGGCCCTTCTGCCCGCTAGCCCTTCCCAAGGCCCCTGCCTGGCTGCTCCTGCAGGAGCATGTGCACAGCACAACCTCCTCTGCCTAACCTTGGTGCTTTGCTGGTGGCCCCATCTGAATACTTCC